CATGCCTTCTTTTTAAAAAAGATATTTCAAACTACCATTCATCTCATCAATATATATCACTATACTATATTTTCAACAACAAAAAAAATGGTTAAGAGACTCGGCCCATTCAATTGACTGAAGAACACAATTTAAAAAGGTTTCGTCCATTCAATGCCCAGAAGAGTGTAATTTATAAAGGATCCACCCATTGCTTTGGCAGAAGCTTCTAAAACAAATTTAATTTAATTTACACATGTTTGCCATTTAAATATTTTGTCTATTGAATGGATAGAGCTTCTTAACCAAAAATAATTTTTTTTTGAAAATATAATATAGTGGTATATATTAATGAGATGAATGATAATTTGAAATATTATCTAAAAAGATGGAATGGCAGTGTAAAATTCCGAAAATCTGACTACAAATCTCAAAGCTGTGTAGCAAAAGCAGCGTCCAGCACTAATGATAGAAGTATGGTAGAGAAATGTAGCTGAAAACGAGCTTTAGTGAAGAAATGAAGATAAGGTTTTGGATTTAGCGAGGTACCTTTAAGCCAATAGTCTCGTACCACCTCTCCAAATCAACATGCAGCTTTTCAAAAAGATATTGAAAGTTAAAAACAAAAAAGAGAGAAAACTTTTGTGCTTTTGTTTCTTCTTCTGAATTGGAAACTCTATAATACTATGCTCTATCTATCCTATGCTACGATGGGACTTGCTCAATGCCATTGCGCCCACTTCCTTCTTCTCTGTGCCTTTTTTGGACTCTTGTATTTCATTGTTTACAGGTAGTAGTAGTAGTAGTAATCATGTTATTAAATACTAGTATATGAACTCAGATTCACACTCAGACCCATCATTTTCTTTACTATAATTTCATGTACTTTCTCGTCCAAACAATAATACATGCTTATCCAATTTACTTAATTACTTACTATACTTTTGCTACTTCTCTTGCCTTTTTCTAACTCTCTCCCACCATAAAACTTTGTAATTAATGACATGTCCACGTCGATAGTAATTTAAGACATTGAAAATGACTCATAATTGATCATAGATAGACTTAGTTTTTGTGCTTGATTTAAATGTTTTGTTCTTGGGTCGACTAATTGGTGTGAGGGATTTCTCTCATGGTTGGTATACGAGTATGTTTGTTCTCTTGTTATCTTGAGAAAAAAAATAAGGTGTAGTAGGACGAATATGTGGACATGATACATTAAATTTTAAATTGTAAAAAATTATGTTTGTAAAAGTTTTTAAAAAATAGAGTGGAGGAGAACAGACACATTAAAGATAGTGGAGTTAAAATTTTGACTTTCTCTTTAAAAAAATATAGATAAAATAGACATGTTCAGCAGATCAAATCTGTTTCGTCATCCATATCTTTGATAATACAATTTAAATGTAATAATATATGTATTTGTAGTATTATTTTTTTCTAAAAGTCATTGAAATTAAAGAAGAGAATATAAAGGGTATTCTAACCCTTATAAAAATGGGGTTATTCCCAACCAACTCCCTAACCTAAAATGGTTTCATACAAAAAGCGTGAAAAGATGAGTTGGAATAAGGAATCTCCTCGGTGTAACTCCACTTCTAGACAAAAAATTTAGCGTTCCAACATATATTGTTAACGTTAGATGATTCAGATTAAAATATAATATTGTTTTTATCCTTCCAAATGGTCCATACAACTGATCTTTGTTGATGTCTCCCCCACTTCAATCCAATCAGAATTTATCCACATCCCCCACGAAACTCACTTTAATCTTACTCCAAGTACCAATGTTCTTCCACACTTCTAAAGAACTCCTACATGAAAAGAAAAGGTGAATAAAATCTTCTTCTTCCATTCCACAAAAACTACACAAAATTTTTTGTAAGATTCCCCTCTTCTTCAGAAGAATTTTCGTCGGTAGCCTATTCCACAATAACCTCCAGCCGAAGAGTTTAATTTTTGGAGGTACCATATTCTTCCATAACCAAGTGAAACCTTTTCCTAATTCCTCCTGCATAATGATTTATGAACCGGAAGCAGTAATGTTGCGATAAGCTTTCGCCACCGAAAAATTCATTTGGTCCCCTTCAAGCCATTGTATCTCGTCCTCCACACCTTCCACTAGACTAACAGAATACAACAACAACAACAATCCATAATCACATCAGCAATCGACTTTACCCCTAAATCACTCCACTCTCAAACCTCATCTTTCCATAATCCCATCTCCTCCGCCATTGCTTCTTTCTTAGTACTAGCATTAAACATATCAGGAAACAGCTCTACTAACGGTATTTGATCAATCCACTTTGTTGTCTAAAACGGAGTCCTTCTACCATTGCCTAGAACAAACTCCACTGAATATGAAAATTTGAAATCTCTCAGACTATTGATAGTATCACATTTTAGCAAGTTTTTACACCAAGTTGAGGATGACCTGCTAGAAATAAAACCATTCCTCAACACTAAGTAAGAAACATTATCGTATCTAGAATTCAAAACTATCCTCCAAAGCCCTTTAGATTCCTTGAGAATTCTCCATTTCTATTTATTTAACAAAGCAATGTTGAATTCTTTATTGCTTCTAATACCGAGGCCTCTTGTGTTCTTGTCTCTACAAACCTTTTCCCACTTCTTATTTTGTCTATCTCCGACCAAACCGCTATTGGTGCCTTGTAAAAAGAGAATAAGAATATTGGAATACTTGACAGCACTGAATTAATCAAAGAGACTCTCTCTGTCATGATTAATAAATGACATTTCCAACAAGCTAATTTGACCTTGAAATTGTCTATAACTGGCTTCCAATTAGTAATCCTCTTAAGATTGTGTCCTACTGTAATACCAAGAAAAATAAACTCCATTGTTTCTATTTTGCAAGGTAGAAAAGTTGTTGCTACCCTCAAGAAATCCGCGTTTACGTTAATACTGATTAGTCTACTTTTATGAAAGTTTACTCCAAGACCAGATATTAACTCAAAGCTCCTCAATATAGCTTTAATAGCCCAAATATTTCTCCACCTTCCACCTCTCATCAACAAGGTATCGTCAGCGAATTGGATGACATCCACTATAGTTTCCTCATTCACTCTAAAACCTGAGAAGATTCTCAAACTTATAGCCTTGTTCACCAACTTAGTCAATGTCTCTGCTACAAATGAACAAAAACGGAGAGAGAGAGAGAGAGAGAGAGAGAGAGAGAGAGGATCGCCTTGACGCAAGCCTCGTTTAACCTCAAAATCCTCCGTAGGACTCCCGTTTAAAAGAATAGATAAATGTCCCGAGAAAATGCAAGCGTTCATCCACCTCATCCATAATGTACCGAAATCCATCCTGATCATCGGGTCCCTAAGAAAATCCCAGTTGACGCAATCGTATGCCTTCTCGAAATCAACTTTAAACAACACACATTCCTTATTATCTCTAATAACAATATCAATTACCTCATTCGCCACCGGTAGCCATTTAGAAACAACCTCTCTGAAACAAAATTGGATTGGTTATGAGAGATCAACCCACCAATCAGATTGGTTAAAACTTTCGCAAGAATTTTATATATACTCCCGAGCAGGCAAATAGGACTATATTCACTAAGCACAAGAGGGTTGGCCACTTTCAGAACCAGACCTAAGAAGGACGATTTGAAATCCTTTAGGAGATAAGCATAACCATGGAAGTTCTTCATAAAAGCGCAAATATCCTCTTTCATAAAATACCAACACCTTTTAATGAATATAGAATTATATCCATCCGATCCAAAATTTTTTACTCCATCACAACTCCACATTACTTCTTTTATTTCCTTTTCTGAAAGCGAAACTTCCAACATAATAGTTTCAGTCACAGATAAATTATTAAATAAAATCCCTTCAAATCTTAGTCTAACTTCCTTTGATTTTGAATATTTTTTCAAAAAAAAAATACTAAGGTTTAAATTATATGTTGCTCAATTTTTTTTTAATAATGTGAGATATTTGATTCACACTTGAAATTTTTTTTTAAAAAGTGGGTCCATTTATTTATGTATTTATTTTAAATAAAAGCTAATCTCTTAACCACAATAGAGGAATAATATCTGACCACCACTTTATCATGAAAACTTTGATATAAGGAGAAAGTATCTTAGTTTAATTATCGGCTATGATATCACTAATGAGTTATGAGAAGAGCATCTAGATTTAATCAAGAATAACTACATAAATATAAAAGATATCACATATTCACTAAAATTATTAAAAATTTATTTAGTTTTACGGTGAAAAAAATTGATTTTAATTAAATTAATTTTGTAAAATTGATTTTAAATAAAAATAAATTGAAGTAAAGTGATTTAAATTGAAATAATTTTTTACTAAAAATGAGATAAAAAAAATTAAATTTCAATATAATAATTATGTTTAGACTCAAAAATTACAATCCTAATTTTAAGTATTGTCAATTTTATATTAAAAAAAAAAAATCAATGCTACTCAAATGTAATTAAACATATGAAAATGAATAAGTGCTTGAAACATAAATTCAAAGATAGAGTAAGATTTATTTATCATGTCACATATATAGCAAAAACCTCTCCTATCCTAAACAATGTGCAACTCTAAGTCACACAATGTTGAAAAGTAGACACATTTTGAAATGAAGTGATATGGCACTATCTAAAAAATTTGTCTTTACTCAAAATTAGTGTGGTCTCGGATGTCTAAGGCTGTAGTAGTTGGCATATCATTAAGGAAATTCATTTATAGAAAAAATAAAAAATTTCCATTTATAGGGTATTGTAAGAAAAGCTAGGGAGATTCCTGATATTATTCTCTTGAACCTCTCTGCTTTTTGATTCCCAATGCCAATGGAAAAGATGTCTATTTTATCTCATTACAAAACCACAGTGTCATTAGGTGGAAAAGTTTCAGCTCTTTACATCTATCTATATATATATATATATGCTGAAATAGGAAACATTTCCATCACTACTACTCATACCTCATTACTCTCTTGTGTCTTTTCACAACCACTCTTTCATTGCAATGGCAGATTGGGTTGTTTTGAAGAACAAAACCAGTAGCTCTGGTGAGAGAGAGGATCAAGACTTTGATGAAGAAGATGTTGTTTGGGGTGATTATCACTCTAAGGATAAGGATTTTTCTTCTGGTTCTGGTTCAGGTTCATCTGCATGGACATTGCCAAGAAAAAATATTCCAAAGGGCAATGCATTACTACTATCTGATGTTGTTTCTGATGACCCTTTTGTGAAAGGCTCATCATCATCATCATCATCAGCACCTATGAACATTCCTGATTGGTCTAAAGTTTATGGTAAGAATTGCAAGAAAGGTGATTTGCATGGTTATGATGATGAAGAGGGTGATATGGTTCCTCCACATGAATGGATTGCTAGGAAGCTTGCAAGGACTCAGATTTCATCTTTTTCTGTGTGTGAAGGGATGGGAAGGACACTCAAAGGAAGAGATCTTAGCAAAGTTAGGAATGCTATTTTGACCAAAACTGGCTTCATTGAGTAGTTAAGTTAAGTTAACTTAAGTGCTTTTTTTCTTTTAAGTTGAGTACTTAGTGGCTTCATTAATTATTTATGTTTCAAAATTATGATGTTACCATTTTGTATGACTTAGATCCCATGCAATGAACCTATGTAGAACTTTGGATGTTCTTGAATAGATTTATGTGTTTTGCTTTTAGAATCATTTTTTTGTAATTTTGTCACGTTTATTATCTCTTGTTGTTCTTGTGATTATGGTCACAAGATTGTGCAAAGTAGAATCACAAACGTTTTTTCTTTTTGAAAAGGAAGAATCTGACATCCTTTTTTATTAGAATCAGGGGCCACCACCCAATATGGTATAGAATATAAAAGTTAAAAAGAGAATAGTGCCAAGCAGTCCTTATTTTGGATACACATTTTTGCTTCCCTTTCAATTGACATTGATTCCAATAAGTAAATTTCAAATTTTTTAAGTCACATGATAAAAAAGAGAGCAGCAATGCTATCTTTACATATTTCTTACACCTACCCTACTAAATATTAAATATGACATTCGAGAGAAAAATTCTTACATCATTTATAAAAATAAATGATATTTTATATTTGACTTTTATTTTCTCTAATATGAAAAATATGTGATTTAGAAGAAAATAAGATTAATATGTTTTTGATTCTTATAAATATCTCAAATTTCATTTTTAGTCTTTATTAAAATAATGACATGTTTTAATTTCTATAAAACTATTATACACGTAGTTTTAGTCTTTGTTATTAAACCAATATATATTTTTGAATGATTATTTTGTAACTTGTTTAGAACGTTATAAAAAGTTCTTTGGAAAAGAATAAATTCAAAATTTGATTTCTAAATCGAAATTTTCATTATTTTTATCAATATCTTTTGAAATTAAAAAAAAAACATATTTAATTCTTTTCATTTTAAAAAATTCTAAAATTTGATAAAGAAACATTTTCTAATATTCTAAACACGTATGAAAAATATTATTTAAAATTTTAAATTTTAAAAATTTAAGGATAGTTAAATAGTTTTTAAAATTTTAGAAAATATCATGGACTAAAACTGGATGAACAAAAAATTTTCAGGGACCAAAATTTATCATTTTTTTAATAGGGATTAAAAATAAAATTTAAGATATTTATAAAGATCAAAAATATATTTAACCCAAGAAAATATAACAAGGTGGCAGTTTGGTAAATAAAATGAAAAAATTTATAAGAGATTTTACATTGCGCATTTACTAACCCCCGATGTAAAAAGTCCAATGATAAAATTATACAAACACAGTGGCAGTTTTGTAAATAAGGTGCGTTTTTGTTATAAAAAAAAGTGACCATTACATCGGGTTAAGTCCCAACTGATGTAAAAGATTGACCCTTACATCACGCCCTTTAATCTAACCGATGTAAAAACCCGATTTTGTTCATAAAACCCTAATAATTCTAATCGGATGTTCATAACGCGTCGTTATCACTCTCTCGAGCAGCTCCCTCCGAAATCGTCTCACACGATAACCTTCCTCCATCGTCGACGTCCCTCCGTCTCCCTCGCTCCGTCGTCGACGTCCCTCCGTCTCCCTCCCTCTGAAACCGTGAGACACGAAAACTTCACCCTCGCTATGTTTTCGTCTGTCTCCGTGTTTACAGTGATTTCTGGTAAACAACCGCTAGTCCTCCAAACTATCAAATAATCTTAATGACTGTTATTTAATCTCTCTGGTAACTTGCAGAATCGACTAGATTGATCCTATGGTGTATTGGTCATTTGGATAATTCTCACTGTAGAACTGATATTCATGGTTGGTATTTAGAAATGTGGTGTAGGCGTTTAACTTACTTCGATTACTATATTAAAGAGATCTAATGACATGATCAAGTAAAGATGTGCGAAACTAAATTGCATGAATAAAGATTCGATTGTAAAGACATGTAAAACTGCAAGAAACAAGTAAATAACTTTGAAATATAAAAGCATGTGATGTAAAAGAGTTTCTGAAAAGTAAAGGATTCGAAATAGCAAGAAAGCGTTTAAATGCAAGAAATCAGTAAAAGACTTTGAATAAAAAGGTATTCGAATGACAAAAGCATGAAGATAAAAGCATGAAATATACAAAAGTTTCTGAAATGTAAAGAATTTGAAATAGAAAGAAAGCGTTTAAATGCAAGAAATCAGTAAAAGACTTCGAATGAAACTACTTTAATGTAAAGGCTTTTGAATGATATTGACATGAAGATAGAAGATAAACTGGAAATGATAAAGAGTTTTTTGCTGAATCATAAATATTTGGTGTTATCATACGTATATTGTTCGAGCATTCGTTTCCCTAGCCATGTGGTATTTTGAATGTTTACTGAGTTTTGTACAATAGATATGACACACGAAATCCTAACGCTAAGACTTCTATTTATACTACTTCGACCATAACGGTCTTGCCTATAAGATTCTGCCACGTTCAGAACATGCAAAGCACTGCCCCTCTCTAGCTTCCACGCGTCTTCGAATGCTCCAGCGCATATATTTTAAATTTCGAACATCCCGCTTGCGTTTGAATTTTAAATGTTTTGGCACTCTTCGCTTCGAACTCATTTCTTGGACACAGCCTTGTTACCACTTCGAGACTTCTTTTGAATATATCCCCATAACTGTCACTCGAAGCTCCGAGCTTTGACATGTTCATTCGAAGAACTACTTCTACCATTCCGAACCATGACATCTTGCTTTATTCCAACGAAACACCCAACTTGCTTTGTTTCGAACTGTATCATTAAAATCTTCAGTCAACAAAATGCCCCTTTAAAATATGTATTTCGATCCTTTGAGAAACACTTATTTTAAATATATATGCAAGATTTTGATGTGACCTTTGAGTAATCGTAACATTTATTGTGTATGACTCCAGTCACGTCAATCACGACGCCTTTCAGATTCCTTAACCGTCTTGAACCAGTATTTCACAGCATGGTGCAATTATAAAACAATGATTATTAATCACGCCTATTACCAATATCAACTTTTACGCCACCTCCTTCTCAATCCAACCCACGACTCCCACGTATCCTAATCTTACTCAGTGGATGTTTAAACTTCCACACTATAAAAACCCATCAACTTAGTCTTTTATTTTTTCTTTCCACATTCTGAATCTTTTTTTCCTCTCTTCTCACTAAAACCCTAAAACTTCCAACAATCTTCAACAATGTCTTCTACAACATCATCCCAACTGAAGAAAACTTCCAAAAAGAAAGGAAAGAACACAGGAACAATAATGGAAAGCAAGGTTGGTACCTATCAAGGTCAATCTGTGCTTATCCCCCAAATGATCTCCAAAGAGAAGGAAATGCTCTACGCATCTCAGGTACTAATTCCAACTAACGCCGCTGGAAAGAGGTTTGCTCTAATGGGTCCTCTTACAGTCTTTGAAATCTTAAAAGATACTAGAAAAATCTTCCTTGTTTGTTATAATTTTAAGCCTTTGTTTAATAAAATGGATACCCCTAAGACAGGCGAGTCTTCTGATTCGACAACCGTGGAGGCTCCAATCGTTCCCCCAAAAGACCCCTTTGTGCTAGACTATGTGAAGAGTAACTTCAAACCATTTCGATCCTGCCCTACCTCTGACACAACTTACCAAAACTGGTTTACCAAAGTAGAAGCCAAGAAATCCCAGCAATGGGAGGAATTAGGCATTTACAACTTGATTAAATTATCGAAACCAAGCTTCACCTATAGCCATCCATTATTATTTGCGTCCTTATATTTCTGGGACAGCACCTACAACACCTAACATCTCCCTGGAGGAATGATTACACCCACCTTTTTTGATATAGCAGCCATTACTGGTTTGTCACCAGTAGGAGAAACCTACATTACTGACAATGAAGAGCACTCGAGCATTATTGACTTCGAAGTCAAATTAGCCAGCTTTTCAAAGTTCATTAGCCACTACCACACTGAAGGAGATAGTGTGTCAGATGTGGAACACATTGCTTTCCTCACCTTATGGTTATCAAGGTATGTATTCTGCAGCAGGTCCTTACAGGTAGCCAGCAGGTTCATCCCTCTAGCTAGAGATTTACATGAGAATCGGAGAGTGTGTTTAAGCGAACTGTTACTTGTTGATCTTTACGAAAGTTTAAGATCAGCCGTTTCGAGTTTGAAATCCCACACTCCCAAAAACATCCTTCTAGCTGGCCCCTTCTGGTTACTCCAGTTATGGCTTAATGCCATGTTTGAACCCTCACTATCAACTGCTAACACTATTGTTGAACAAGATCCGGAGATAGCGGATAGAATCATTGAAGGTACTAGGCTGCGAAGACTTACCCCAAACGATGATAAAGATGACTTCAAAGTTCTCTTCTCCAACTATATCATGATTTTCTCCAAGAGACACAAATTCGAAGAGACAATGGCGCCCTTCGCTTCAAGGACTCATGGACCATCATGGTTCACCATGGCTCTCTCAGAAGCAGTTAAAAGCAAAGAAATTCAAGATATTTGGAAAGCCTTTTTGCTTCCCAGATTAATCTCCTCACGAATCACTCCTTCTAAGAATCAAATCTTCCTTTTTGCTTATCAACCCAACTTCGTTTCTAGACAATTTGGCCTGTGCCAACTAATCCATGAACCCCTGTTCCAAACAGAAAGTGCCATTACTTTTGGGCGAACCTTCAAAGCAAGAGAAGCCAAACTACAACAGGAACAATATCAAGGCTTCGCCCACTTTGAACTAATAACTTTTGAACCTACACACTTCACAGCAAAGGGTTTTCTGGAATGGTGGACAAAGTTCTACCAGTCTTATATGTTCGATACCCTCTCTATTCAACAGAAACTAACTGATGCGTTTGATGTGCAGGTACACTCCAAGAAAGGTATGTTCACTCATGCCAAAGAGATTAGGGCTTTTCAAAATTATTTCGAAACCACTTATGATCCCACACACTTGGAATCCACTGTGCATCAAGCGGCTGAGACCTTGAAGGAAAAATTTAAAGAAAAAA